CGGGGGGCGCTGAGGAGCCGGCGGGGCCGGGCTGCTTTCCTCCTTCCTCCTCCTTCCTCCTCCCTCCCTCCTCCTCCTCCCGCCGCAGGTCCCCAGCGCGTCCCTCGGCGGAAGATGCGAGGCGAGGCGGAGGGCCGGCTGTGAGCTGCGGGCGGGGGGAGAGGCCCGGCGGTGTCCCCGGAGCGGGGCCGGAGCCCCCCTCCCCCCCCTCCTCAGGCCGGCGGGTGGCGGAGGATGCGGGTCGGGCCTCCTCGCCGATGAGAGGGAGGATGGGAACCCAGGGCAGCCCGGTGAAGAGCTACGATTACCTCCTCAAGTTCCTGCTGGTGGGGGACAGCGACGTGGGGAAGGGAGAGATCCTGGAGAGCCTGCAGGACGGGGCCTCCGAGTCCCCCTACGCCTACAGCAACGGTAAGGGGGGCTGGGGGGGGGCCAGGATCGGTCCCGCGGCCTCCCGGGGGGAGCCCGCACCGCAGCACCCGCGTCCCTGTAACAGGCAGCAGCGGGGACCCGGGCGAGGGGTCGCTGGCCCTGGGGAGATCAGCGCTGGGGAGGGAGGGAGGGAGGGGGGGAGGCGTTGTTTTGCTTTTTTCCTTCTAATTTTTTTTAATTTTTGTATTGACTGGAAGCGAAGCGCGGTTTGTCAGGGGTCGCGTGGCTGGCAGCCGAAAGGCCACGGCTGTTGCTTAAAATCCTGAAGAGCTGCAGGAGAATTTGGCTGGGGAGACGGCAGGGGGTCGGTGCCTGATGTAATCCCTGGATGCGTGAATCCCCCAGCGCAGCTGGACCCTTCCCAAGGGGAGCTCTGCCTCGGCACCCGGCTTAAAAGAGCCGAGCTGCTTTCCCATGGCCGCCGCAGGGGTTAACGAGCTGTACCCAGAGGAAGCAGGGTCTGTAACAAAAGAACAGGAGCCTTATTTCCAGGCCAGAGCTGCTCTCACTTGGTAGCTGGCTACTGCGAGCGCAGCTTGGTCCGCCTCCTGCAAACATCAAGGTTTCTAATGGAGCCCATGACAGACCATTAACTACAGTGTCACAAGACCATAATTAAGAGCCAAGGAGTGGCGCTGCGTTATTTCCTGCGTCCCCTCGCTGCAGTTAAAGCATAACACGGCCTGGCAGGGTGCAGGTCCTGGGGTGGTTTTCAATCTGTCATCCTTTCCCCCAGCCTCCGTGCAAAATAACATCCCCAAGGGCTCGACAGAAGAGATCTAGTTCAGAGCCTGCATCATCACTGCAGCCGACCCCAGGGCTGGAGCAGGTGGTGTTTAGCTTTCCCTGTAAGCAGGAGTCTGAGGGAATTGGGTGCTTCTCCACGCTCTGCATTGAAGCTGGCTGAATTTAGAGCGTAAAGGAGCGGTGTGGCTCGGCTCCTGACTGCATGCCCAGTCCTTGGAGCTACTACCAGCTTCGTAGGAGCTGATGCAAGCGGGCACCTGCTCCGCAGAGATTTACGGGGAGGTGGTGACTCAGAAGTCAGGCTGCTAGTGAAATGAGAGCAGCAAATTCTGGAGCTAGAAGGTTGTGGTATCGTTCATCTCCTTGGGTGTCTAGCTGAGCTGGTGTGGTTTGCCTTCAAGGAGATGCTTGGTGCTTTTAAGCTTCCCTGAAGAGAGTTTGTGTCTCTGAAGAACCTGCCTCATCTGGGAGCTGCTCCTTGGGGTTAGCATTTACTAAGCAGAAAGGGATGAAGAGTGTAATGGGGTTGTTGTTTTAAGTGAAGTGTTGAAGTTAGAATTGTCTTCTTATAAAAATGGTTTTGACCGCTGTCTTGAAGCAGGCGGTGCAGGAGTCATAAGTACAATTGCAAAGTGAGTGTGTGGTGTGTTCTTTGATATATACATAAAACCCAAAGAACGGTGACTTTGGCTATCACTATAAAAGTTTTGTCTCTGTACCCACTATTTTATAACAACAAAATACCACCATCTTTTTTCTGGAAAAAGACATCTCGGTGAACTAATATTATTTTCAGAACCTTCCCTCATCTTCTGTGGGCAGTTGAAGCCATTCCTAATTAGAGAATTAGGTCACATACTGTTTTTTCACAGTAATATGTGCTCTGATAGTCTCTGCTTCTGTTGCTTCTGTGAAGCTACGTGCCTTTTGGATAATCAGATGGAGTAGCTTTGAAATCTGAGTGAATTTGATACTGCTGATATTCCTGACAGCCTTGGCAATCAAACTCCCTCCATCTCTGGCACAGTTGGGATGTGCGTACTGGCAGGGCAGGCTTCTCTGCCAGTGTGTTTTCACTCTGCCCTGACGGAGAGCATCCCTTGACATGAAGGCACTTAGATTTTGTGAACAGCTAGTGCCTGGCCTCCTTTTTGGCATGTGCCTGATGCTGTCCCAAAACTGCAATGGTGGAATATTGTGTAGAGGCTCTTTTTGTAAATCTTTTAATTGTAAGTGCGTTATCCTCTTCCTTATCCCCCGCCAGACCACATCCCAATTTAAAATAAGTATTGTATTATCTACTACTTATTTGATCTGTCCAGAAACCAGAACTTGCTGTTACCAGTGTGAAATGGGGTATGTTTTAGGTTGATCTTGTGATTGGGACATCTCATGTCAAGCTCAGATCCCTAACCTCCAGTCGGAAGGGCTAAAGCTATTGCGCCTTCTCTGTCTCGTTGGGGTCTGCTGCTTTTACTGTGTTGGCCAATCACAACTGTTTTGACACAGGTTTTTTTAAATATAATGGGAAATGCATTGTCCTTTCAGCTCTGGGAAGGCATACCTTTAAAGCTCTGTATTTTTGCTGCTGCTCTTCTGCTGTACACCTGGCCTCTAGAAAAGGGTTTGAGGGATTCCTTTCTTCTCCATTGGCATCTGGGTGTTGGAACAGCAGGCAACCAAGAGATGAGAAAGCCTTTTTTCTATCAGCATCGCTTTTGCAAGCTGTAAGCAGTCGGCAGCCTCTGCTTGCTTGCATCCAGTATCTGAAAGCCTTGGACGCAGTATGAGCTGTGTCTTTCTTAAAGCATTGTAGTTGCTTCTGTCCATCCTTGTTCAGGATCCCTGAGCAGAAGCATCGCTTCTCAACACAGCCTTATAGCTTGGCACCTCTCACTAAATCAGGCACGTCTTAAACTAGACACCACAGTTCCTGTTGTGTATAGCAAGACCTTAGCAATGTCCTTTATTTAAATTGCTGTTAGAAATTAATCTGGTCCGTATAAGTAGAGGTGGTTGTTACTCCCTGAATGTCGTCGGCCTTTGCAGTAAGAGGCGCGAGTGATGCCCCTGACCATTGCTGCAATCAAGCTGCAAGGGCACTGGGTACAGAACTTTTGGAGACATAAACCCAGCATTTTGAGGAGGAATTTGAGGTCCAGTTGTCACTTGTGTGTTTCTTAGGTTCATGCTGAAGTTACCAAGTGTATAGGTCTCCAGGAGCATCAGGCCAAGCACTTCCTGCGCAGAGCAGGGAGTTTGTCCTGTGTATGTCCCATGGCTGGATATTGTCACCTCCCATGCCAGGCAGGTTTGCAGCTGAGTTGAACTTACATTTTGCTTTCTCTTGGCCAGCTGCAAATGGCCCTAAATCAAGCCACCTTACTAGTATTTTGGTGAAGATGTGGGCTTTTGGGAGAACATTAATGTTCTTTTGGGCTTCCAGTGTTGTCCTCCTTCCCAATTTTCACCCACCTCACTCCCCAAATCTGCAGTGGTGGAGGTAGGGTGCCATTCTTAGAGCCCCATTGCTACTCTTAACACCTGGAGGACCTCACCCGGCAACCGAAAATCCTGCCTTTCCCCCCAAATGCCCTCTCCTCTCAGCACTTGCTCCTTCTCCTGAGGTACAGGGGAGGGCTGTTCTGGCCCCTGTGCTGTGAGCTGCAGTGTTACAGCTGACTCAGAGCAAAACTGCATGCCTTCCTCACAGGCACAAGTCAACTACACAGATCACTTATCACTTCGGTGCTTAAACTGCCTGCTTGGGGTCTGTCCTTATGCTTCCCCAAGTGCTGAAGCAGGACAGAAATGTCTCTGGTCACAGGGTGGTTTTGGACAACGAGCTGTGGTGGAGCTGCCTGTGAAAGTAGGGGTGGCTTACATGCCCTGCAAAAGGAAGACAAGGCTGTTCCTCACCTGAAGGACTCATGGCTTCATCACTACTGTGTCATACAGCCACTCTCGCATATCTAGTTGTTCACGTATCTAGTTGTTCATGTGCTTGTGCTGAAGTGATCTTGCCTAGCTGGTTTGTTGGCTTGCGTGAGAAGCCAGCCCTGCTCTGGCTGCATCAACACGGGGTGAGTCAGGGGAGGACTCCTTGCACGGGAGCACTCAGCAGGCATGAGTGCTGTTGCTGCCATGTAAGACGGTGCCCTGCGTGCACCAGAAATAGGGACGGGGCTGGTCTCACCACACAGACGTGAATATGATGTGCTCCGTCCTCACGTGATGGAGGGCTTTTTCTGTGGCAGCCTTCCCCCTCACCTGCTGCTGTTCCCATAGGAAAGGAGAAACATGTGTTAGGGAAAGAGTAGAGCATGTTTCTGAGCAGATGGCTTTGATTGGAAGGGGGATGGATTTTTATTTTTTTCCCTGTCCTCAGCTTGTATGAAGAAGGCAATGAGGATGAAGCCTTATGTCCGTAGTCTGATCTCCTTTCAAAGAGCATGCGAAAGATAAAATGAAAGTATTGCCCTGCTGCAGGGTTGGTGCTGTGACCAGCCTAATGCAGTGAGCCCCGATGCCTTGTTTCCACCTCGTCCCTTAGCTGGGGCTTAATGCCTTTATTCGAGCACCATCCTTAGGGGCTCTGTTACCCCGCTGCTATCTAAAGACCTAAGGAGACATTAGGAAAAAGGCAACTTAAGTGCTCAGTTGCAATAGCTACCGACAGGTTTTATGGTTCCGATAAAAAATGGATCTTTCCCAAGAGCTCTTCCCCCATAGCAGAAGTGCAAGGAACTCAGCTTTTGGGCAGGGGTGGTGAGCCCACCACGGTCAGTGTCTGTGCAAGGAGCAAGATCTGAGGCGGTGTAGCTTTGTGCCCTCTCCCTGGCCGGGAGGGCAGGGAGAGGCAGCATTTACGAAGAGCGGCTGAAGACACTGCTCAGCCCTTGGAGGTGGCCAGGACCCTCCCAGTTGGTGCTGTTTGCCTGGGGACCTCATGACTGCTGTTTAATTGCCAGGCTGTTTATTTCAGTGACCCACATCTTTGGATGTCTTTTCCCTCTGGTTGTTTTTGTGCAGCTGTCTAAATTTGGAGGTCCCTAAGCTGTCCCTTTCGAGTCTTTCTTTACAGCAGTTACTCTCTTTGTATGTCCTGTGACCCCTCAGTCACCAGCGTGCATCCAGGAACATCACCTGTAAAACTGCTCTGCTTTGCTTTGTAGCAGTCTTCAAGTTAGTTACTTGCCAACCAGGAGATCATCTGTACCACAACCAGCGTA